TGTACAGTGTACAATTAAATAGTTTATCTTTCAATTATTACGAGTATATAGAACGTACCGATATTTTTTGTTCTAATATTATTGTGTCTATTTAAGAAATGTCATATTACGATCCAAGGTTAACACAATTGATATTTGGAATCATTTTGTGCTTCATACTGTTTGCAATTGCTATTTATAATGCATTACGTAAGTTTGTTTATTATGTATATAATGTATATTTATGTATTTTTGTATATTTATGTATATGTGTATATATATGTACATGTGTATATTTATGTATATCTGTAATATTGGCGTGTAGTTCCTGTATAGAATAGGCCACTCTTTTCTTTCCCATCGGTGTCGTAACAGTGAGACTAAGGAGGGCGACATTCGAGCTACATGTTCTATCAAAATTGCTAGCAATATTGCTAATATATAATACACAATCGACTTGATAGACTGTATATCCTATCAGGTCGACTTTCACACCAGTAGGCCTTGGAAAACTTGGTTAATTCTTAAATTCGTCACGGTGGGCTAACTGACACGCTTTACGCTTTCCTATCCTTCCTTAGCACACACTGGTGCTTCGCCATTGTATACCATTATCCATTTTTAACCAACTTTAAAAAGGTTGTCAATTCGGTTGTATTTTTTACGTTTGTCACCTCATAACTCTGTCAGTTCTAAACCGATTTGGAAAATTCTTTTTCTTTTGTCTGAAAAGATATGCTTACAGATTGGTCTCGTAGAAACTTTATCAAAATCGATTCAGTTGTTTAGTATTACTTTCATTAGTTTAGTATAATTAGGTTTTAAATCAGAACAACTGGTTTTATCACGATTCTAGTTGGTTTTTTTGTAGGACACAATTTTTATTTATCACCCATAAAAAACCACCAGAGGTCGTCAGTGTGGACATTAGAAAATACACTATTACAATTTTACATTGTACATTTGAGTATAAAAAACATTTCTTTATCGTATAATAATAACATTATCTGTGACTATATTAAATCGCTTATTAATCGTAAATATTTCTTATCTGTCCCTTACATTTTTTATTCTTTGTGTTTCTTGTTTTTTGATAAGTGTTGTCGTATTTTTCTTTATGAAAAATATCATTATTATATCAATAATCTATCAATAATAGAAATAAATCGAAATGAGCTTATTCGGTACCGTGTTGTTAATTGTTATATTTTTTTTATTTGTTGCTATAGTAACGGTTCACAGATTAATCGGTAAGTACTACATATGTTTAAAAAATATATCATCATATTAGCCTTTAATTGTCCACTGCTGAACATAAGACTTCCCCTTGGGGTCTTTTTTTTATACAACTTAGAATGGCAAACAAGCTGACGGCCCACCTGATGGAAAGTGGCAACCTTCGCCTATAGACATGAGCAGTACCATGGACATAACAGAGTATACTGTTTCACCCATGATACCCCCCATGCGTTGCCATTCCTGAGGACTCAGGTGTTATTCCTCTGTACCCAGTAAATTCACGCCATATCCCACCCTTCAAACCGAAACACAGCCATGCAAACACAATTGCTTCACGGTAGAAACACGAATGGGACAGAGGTATCCAAGCAATCGACTTTTGTACAAAGTCTCCCTCAGATACGCGAAAGTAAATTTTTTCATATAAATATAGATTAATAATTTACAATTAAATTACACTCCTTTCTTTCCCGTGGGTGTCGTAAGACTGTTATGTCCATGGTACTGCTCATGTCTATAGGCGACGGTTACCACTTTACATCAGTTGGGCCGTCAGCTTGTTTGCCATTCTAAGTTGTATAAAAAAAAAAAAAATATCGATATTCATAGGTGGGGGAAACCACCAACAAATACCCAAAGAGGGCTGACGTCAGGCAGGCATATCGGTATACACTGGCGGGGCACCGGTGAGAGATGATAGGTGAGAATGAAAAAGTAGGTCAATTAGCCCATCGTGATGAATTCACTTGAAATTCAGCACGATGGTTTCCAGGGGGGACCACGTGGAGGTTGACCTTTTTGGGCATATTGCTAACAATGAGACTGGTAGTGCGCATTCTTAACAACCCCCCACCCCTGTAGGCGGCCGGTTGTAAAAACTATAAGCCAAATCCTTTATTAATATGTATAAAATCATATTACGCCGACCCCAAATAATAATTGAGATAAGGGTAGGGAGATGAAGATGATGATGATATCTTGATATCGAGTAGGCCCGTTCTATGCCGGAACCACACGGCAACAATGATGATATATTACCTACTTATTATTATTTCTATATACCTACTCTACATTCTGTTACTTTGAATGTTGTTGATAAGTGCGTGTTTACACAATATTATGAAATTATTGAATATTCTTTCAGTACACCTGACTCCTCAAGAATGGCAACGCATGGGGGCTTTCATGGGCGAAACAGTATACTCTGTTATGTCCATGGTATTGCTCATGTCTATAGTCGACGGTTATCACTTTCCATTAGGTGAGCCGTCAGCTTGTTTGCCATTCTAAGTTGTATAAAAAAATATATAATTCTTTAAGTAAATTTTGGAGGTCCTGTCAGGATAATCTATTATGTGTGATCTCTCTCGGCGAGAAAGGGCACGCCAAACCCTCAAATTGTCTAAACATGCAATCGATTATTTACGTAAATCCAGTTTTGACAATAGATAACTAGAGAGATAACGTTAATATTGTACGTAAAATGTAAATTCATCTCTCGATAATAAGGAATAGAAATGAAATTTGCATAACAGTCTTTTCTGGCATGATAAAATTTTCAATCTGATCGAAATATTGAACTATTTTCATCTGAATGCGAAATCAAAGAAGATAAATCATTTAAAGTTTATGTATCAAGGTGAACAGTTACAAAAATGTGATCAAACAGTGCATTAAATTGAAATAAATTTAACAAAAGTCTAAAACAACAAAGTTAATCACAAATCTCTTATGAAAATAAGATTTTTTCGTGATAATTATATTACCAAAGTTTACTCCGGACTGTTTGTTAACAGTATTGTGTAGTGGTTACTTGGTTCAATCATTAAAAAAGAAAATAAGTGACGCGAAGAAGTAAAAGACAAAAGAAAACAAAATACTGTAATTTAACATTAAAATTCCATGAACAATTCTTTTATAATTTGTTGTACAGTATGGTATATAATTGAACATTCTAAAGTTACCCGAACTACTGTTATAATTGTGCTGATGACAAGGAATATGGCTCCGTTGACTGATGGCGTAGACTCTTCAACTTCGGAGGGGCCCAAGTTCACAGTTATCTACGTATCTGTGTTACTGACATTACTGCTTATGTCTTTCATCATTATGTGTATTAAGCTGTCGCATTTTGGTAATATCATATTTAATACAATTTATACATTTGTCCTTTTCTACATTCTTATTCCTTATTCCTCTTATTTACCAATTTCCTTTATGCATTTCCAACGTTCTGTTCCTTTTTTCCCTCAATCCTTCCCTCCGTACCGTAGGTGGTGGAAACCACCAACAAATGTATTCCCAAAGAGGGTTAACATCAGGCAGGTGGCCGGTTGTAAAACTATAAGCCAAATCTTTTTGTAATATGGATACAAAACATTATGTCGACCCCAAATAATAATTGGGATAAGGCTAGGAAGATGATCATCTTTAATAACATTTCTATTAGCAGTATTACAATTGTTATGTTATTTAAGTTAATTAGTTATAGCAGTAACTATTTTAATATAGATTGAGGGAGATTTTGTGCAAAGGTCGTTTACCATACCATCTACCGTAGAGACACCTGAGCCTCTATTGTACTCGTCTTCTACTGTTAAAGAGCTTTTCTTGTATATTTGTGTTTTGGTTTAAAGATGGTAGTATAGCACTATGCTACTCAGAAATGGTAACGTATAACAGGTTCCATGGACGCTGCAGTAATTTTAACGACGTTTGTGATGCTGTTTATAGGTAGTTGTCTGTGGGTAGTTATACTTCTGTCAAGTGAGTCATCAGCTTGTATGCTACTTCATGTTTTACAAAAATACTAATTAGAGTTATTACAATCAACAGAAACACATCTGAAACTTTTTTTCTTTTTATATAACGCAATTTTCGTCATTATAATATAAAAAAATCTAATGCATAATTTAAAACTGTTTCCACTTCTTTAAATAATCTTTCCTCTAAGAGCCTTAACAATGAAAAAGTAGATTTAGACTTAAACAGATAACGTAGAAGAATCCAATGCGTTTTTTAAAAGTGTTTCCACCTCTTCAAATAATCTTTCCTCTAAGAGCCTTAACAATGATAAAGTAGATTTAGTCTCAAACAGTAATCTATTACCTATTGCAGTTTTTGTTGCAGTGTTTATTATACTAAGTAAACGTGTTAATTAATCGCTAACACCATTTATTACTAACTACATTCGCAAAAAATTAATACGTTGGTATTGCGTTGTTCTTAAAGAATAATGCAAGCTAACGTTAAATATGAATATTCTTACATATTGTCATTAATCTTTTCCATTCCAGTTTGAAAAATAATTAACTTTTTGTGCCATTAAAGATCACTTTTAAATTTATTTATACTTAACTCATTCCTGGTTTATGTGAGATAATTTCTTTTAATTTTGCAACTGAATGTTTTTTGGTCCTGTGTGGTCTTATAGCTTTTTCAAATAGTAAAGTACGAACACCTTACTTTCAATAACTAAAACAATCAGAAATATTTCAGTTTTGCTTTAAAAAATGACATGTAATATAGAGGTTGTCTGTTTTATGGGAAGTGCCTTGTTAACGTGCTAAATTTATCTTTTTGATTATCACTTTTTGTTTCAAATACTACAGCACGTAATTTCGTAACGTTGTTAGAATAGAACACTTGACCATATGAGATTACCTTTTTATTCGAGATATCACTATAATCTCCACGCGATACTGTCGAAGCATAAAAAGATAAAAACGATAAACGAAGTACTTTGACAATTTCTCGAAACATTGACTGTATTGTGGTGCTACTAATGTGTCTAGCTATAGAAATAAAATTATAAAAAAATGTAGTGCGATTGAAAAAGAAAGTGCTAGTTTTTTTTTTAAATGAAGTGAAATTTTGAAATCCACGTAGTTGTGTAAATGATCATAAACAGTTTCGGAGCAAGTGTTAACGGGAAGCATTCTAATAATTTGTTTAAGCAAATTATTCAGATTGTAACTGAGAAAATTGATCACTCGAATCGTTTGCAATAGTAAACAATTCTAGAGTGCAATTTCTAGAAAAGATACGAAAGTGACATCTTAAAAAAAGAAGTGATAAAATATATAGTAAAAGAAGTAATAAAGTCAATATTTAAAGTAAAAGATAGATCAAGCATAAAATATTATATAAAGAATCAACGCATCGAAACTTAATAAAAAAAGCAATATGGCACCTATGTATGGACAACCAAATTACAATTTTATTGATGATGAATATACCGTAGCAGGATATAAAGACAAAGAAGAGACCAATCAAGTCGGTTTAACTCAAATGGCTTTCTGGTACATGGTCGTATTGGTTGGGATGTTATGCCTTTGGTTGATCATATTTTTTTGTCTCAGAATGATTGCAATGGGTTCGTAAAATATAATTACTTCTTAACCTATTTCAACCTTACAACATATTTGCCTACATATGTCCTTTAGCTTCGTCTTCGCAAATTTTTACATTTTTTTCTAGTTTGGAAATAACCTGTGCCACATTTAATTTAAATCTGCCCAGTTCAAAATAAATTAAAAAAAAAAGCGTAAAAGTGTATCAAACATTCATCCATCCTTACAAACTTTCGCATTTTTAATAGTAGTAGAATATAAAAGTCCCATGACATGGCGTTCGTTCACGCTTCGAAACTGCTCGACCGATTTTAATAAAATTTTGTAATCGTATTAGTATCGTTTGCTTTCATTTGAGAGATAAAATAGTTTTTATTCCAATGAGTGAGACTTTTGTTGATATCTTGAACTAGTACGAAGTTGCAGCGTTAGCGTAGTAGTAGTAGTAGTAGTAGTAGTCACTTGTAATGTGTAAATTTCAGCAAGTCTAAATATATATTTTTTTTAAATAATCGTAATATAGAAAATAATAGTATTTAAATTGATTGGAATCGTTTAAATATTAACGAAATCTTAGAACATTATAAAAAAAAGGTTGCAAAATTTGTAACAGATAACTGTATGTAGGTAACAGGGCCGTAGCTAAATCCAAGTTTGTAGGCGAAAAGAACTTTTTCGTAAGGTAAAAGTCATAATTACGTGACTTCGAAAAGCAAATCTGTCTACTTTTCTTGGAGGCATTCATATTTAGATAGGGCAATGGGCCTTTTAAAGTAGGGCATTGCCCTTCAATACTCCCTTCCCCCCTCCCTACTTATGGGCATGGTAGGTAATAACAGAGACAATAATAAGTAAATAAAGAAAATTCCTTAAGATTATTTTTGTGCTAAAACTCTCGCAAATAAAAAATGCACACTTGGCAATAATATTCTGCAAATCTTCAACTTACAAATTTTGTATGAATTGTGCAAACAGTTCGTAGCATATTTTTAATATCCTTCCAATATATGTATTAGCCATTGTAGTACTACTATATCTCGCAGATTAATTCTTATCATACATATTTTCAAGATCCCTCCAGTCAAAATTATCGAATAATCTGCAATCATTACTTAGTAGGTACTCAAAATTTAATAAATTAACGTTCACGTCACAACAAAATCCTGATATATTACATTTTATAATTATATAGTACGTACTTTATTGATAAACAATCAGTAAAGCCATGAAATTATATTTTATAACATTTGTATAATCGGTAGATAAAATGTATTTGAAAAATCGGGGAGTAAACAGTTCCGTGTCATGTTATATTGAAACGAGACGTGTTCCTCGAACAATTTGTTAAGTACACGTGTACTTAATAATTTGAAAAACAATTATAAAATCGCGAAATATGTACAGGATGTGACTTGAAAAGTTATTTATTCCTACAACAGTGCTTAATATGCCTTCATACGTTGAAATTAACGATCTCGCTTCACGTACTAGTTCAGTAATGGACAATAACAATACTAGTGATAGTGCTACGGAAAGTTCTGATAACTTCGTGATATATTACATTATATTGGTTATTATAATATTGAAAGTGTCGGCCTTCTTTGTGCTGTGTTTAAGAATATTACTATGGGGTAAAGTAGATGTGTATTACAAGCAATATTAAACAATAAAGTTTGAAAAAAGTTGATATTACCACTTACAAATAAAATTTAAATCTTTATTATCATATCAGCCCCTAACCGTTCACTGCAGAACATAAGTCTCCCCTTGGGGGAGTTTCGAGTAATTGCCACGTTTGGCAGGTGGATTGGCATTCGTAGTTAGGCTTTAGAGAGGTTTTAAGAGGAACGCAGCAGCGGTGGTGACAGCAGAGATGACTAAGAGACAGTGCGGGATAGGCAGAGGATAGGCCTATCCCTCGCTGTCTCTTAGTCACCTCTTACAACACCCACGTGAAAAGAAGCGGTGGTGTATTCTATATCGGCACTACACGGCCAATACTTTAATGGATGAATAAATAATTATACTTTATTTGCATTATAAAATAAGCAAGACAATTTACAAACACAACGATACAATTGTACAGTAAGGCAGTAATAAGGCAGTTATTTAAATGAGAAATATTAAATTATACTTAAGTATTTTGTTTGCCATGTGGTTCTGGCATATAATGGATCACCCCTTCCTTTTCCGTGAGTGTCGTAAAAAGTGGCTAAGGCAATTTAATAATCGAAGGATGGGCAGCAGAGTCCTTCTTAAAACATCACCAAAAGCCTAACTATGGTTGCCAACCCGCCTGCTAAGCGGCTCACCTGCAGGCAAAACCTTCTTTAGGAGGTAGGCCTATGTTCAGCAGTGGACAGTCAACCGATGATATGATGATAATGATGTTTCATTTAAACATATTTAAAATAATTTCAAATTTTGTTAAGATTTTTTTTTATAGTAACTTACTATAGTAATAATAAGGTTCATTCAACGATTCTCAGTAGATCTCTCTATTTGTAATAAACACACCAAGATCCTCGCAATGTAGATATATACGTAGATAACTAATTATTAAAAAGCTCTATCCTTAAATAAGCCTCTTGCTTTCCTAAATTTCATAATATGTATTGAATTGCCTTTTGGTCATCACCAGAGGGAGACTTTGTACAAAAGTCGATTGCTTGGGCGCCTCTGTCCCATTCGTGTTTCAACCGTGAAGCAGTTGTGTTTGCATGACTGTGTTTCGGTTTGAAGGGTGGGATATGGAGTGAATTTACAGGGTACAGAGGAATAACACCTGAGTCCTTAGGAATGGCAACGCATGGGGGGTATCATGGGCGAAACAGTATACTCTGTTATATCCATGGTACTGCTCATGTCTATAGGCGACGGTTACCACTTTCCACCAGGTGGACCGTCAGCTTTTTCGCCATTCTAAGTTGCATAAAAAAAAACTTGTTAATCTAGGTCCTTTAGTATCTATAGGAAGTTTATTCGCATTCAGACCAATTTTGAATGATTTAATATTATCAAATGATTTTATCTTATTTGAGCTGGCAACTGCTACTTGTTTAAAAATACTACAATTAGTGTAAATGTGTAATTTTTATTTTTTAAGGTGACCGATAATGTTTATCAGTTATGTTGTTGGTTGTTACATTATCTTTCTCTCAACGCGGAACATAATTACATTTACCAGAGGGAGACTTTGTACAAAAGTCGATTGCTTGGGTACCTCTGTCCCATTCGTGTTTCAACCGTGAAGCAGTTGTGTTTGCATGGCTGTGTTTCGGTTTGAAGGGTGGGATATGGAGTAAATTTAAAGGGTACAGAGGAATAACACCTGAGTCCTCAGGAATGGCAACGCATGGGGGGTATCATGGGCGAAACAGTACACTCTGTTATGTCCATGGTACTGCTCATGTCTATAGGCGACGGTTACCACTTTCCATCAGGTGGGCCGTCAGCTTGTTTGCCATTCTAAGTCGTATAAAAAATAATTGATTTGATAAATTAAAACAAAAAAAAAAAAAACACAACAAAAACAGTAATGAAAATATAACAATTTTAATTATATAGATTAAAGTACATTATTATTATCATCCAGGTCCGCCTGTGGACAGCCAATTATTAGTTCTAGTGCTAATAGTGCCTTTATTTGTTTTCTTACTGAATTTCTATTATACGAGTATAAGCCTCATTTAAGTTGATTTCTTTCTTTAGTATTATAATGTATACTGTGTCTTAAACGATTTTGTCAATTTGGTAATTCAAGCTTTTATTCGTATTTGAAAAAAACTAAATTATCTGAGAAATTTTCAATTGAATTTAACTAAAAATGGTGCACTTTTTGTTTTAAAAAAAATATATATCTGCATGTATATTTTACGGTCCGTCTTTTACACTCGACGTTCTCTGTCCGTATTTCTACCGTGAAGCATTTGTTTTCGTATGATTGTGTTTCGATTTGAAGGGTGGGATATGGCAATCAAATTAAAGAGTACAGAAGTTAAGGTATAAACTTCTAAAATCTAAGGTATAAAATTCTTAAAATAACGGAAGAAGGGTATCATGGGCGACACAGTATACTCTTTAATTCCCATGGTACTATTTATATATTTGTTTATTTATTTATTTATTGATACTGTTCATGTCTATAGGCGACGGTTACCACTTTAAATCAGGTAGGCAGTCAGCTTGTTTGCCATTATAAGTTACAAAAAAAATCTCAAGGGAATAATTGTGATTTATGTTACCTTTTCTTCTATTCCAGGACAAAAAACGCGCACACAGCAGCAGCGTCGGATGTACGGGAGCTCGCAGAGGCGGCGGCCTACCGACCCGGCGGAGCCTACTATATTCGTCAGTCCCGCCAACTTGCCTCCGCCACCCAAATATGGTAGGTTCATACTATTATTGTTTATATCTAAATTTTGACGTAACCGGGGTATATTTTTTAACCAGGATGAAAAGTAGCCTATATTGTTTTCAATCACAAATAAGTAATACTACGAGTATATAAAAAATCATTCCATTCGAGTTAGTATTACTACAAAAATAAAATTAGTCAAAAATCGTTTAAGTTTATATTCCACTTTAAAAAGTAAATTAAAATTTATGTATATATTTTTATTAAAATCACAGGAATCGAATATATAACAAATGGATAGAAAATCAACTCTATTTTTCTTCTTTCCCCATATTTATTTAAGTTCGGCATAAAATGTTTCCATCTTCCATTTATCTCTACGGATATCTCATTATTCGCTCCCTTTCTGGCCATGTGACCTTTTACACAGTCCAACCATTTGTTTCTGGGTCTTCTTTTGCGCTTATAACCACCCACATTTACACACACATAATAAATCCTGCCTATATCGTGACGAACAAGTACTTTCCAAAAAGTAGCTTGCTCTTTTTTATTTCTTTAAGCTTTACGGATAAACCACCAATAAACGCATTTCCCAGGAAGACTACCGTCATAAAATTATAAAGCCGAAACCACTTCTGGAAATATGGATAGAAAATCAACATTGATTAAAAATATTTATTCTATAGAACTCAATTTCGGTGAAAAAATACGGCATTCTGTTATATACTAAATACACTTTAATGATTACTTGAGCCATTTAAGTGCAAAGACAAATAAACAAACTCTTTTTCATAATTTTAATATTAGTAAGGGTGTAGTCAAGACGGCGACCTAACTACCAACCAACTAACTAACGCCTCGTTACAAGTTTTTGACACAGTCACTGTTAATGCCAAAAAAATGTCCGCTGTTGATTTCAATCGAATTTGATGCGATCCTTTACTCTCTATTATTTTGCCTCTGTTATACCTTGAAATCCTCAGACGTCGCCCAAAACCCATCCCCTAAAGCTGATACTGAATATCACAAGGAAATGAGAATAGCCAGGGTTTACCAAAAGTATTTAATGATGCCACTAAATCAAAGGAGATTTTTTTTATATGGCACTGAGGTGGCAAACAAGCATACGGCCCACCTGATGGTAAGCGGTTACCGTAGCCTATGAACGCCTGCAATACTAGAGGTATTACGCGCGCGTTGAAAAGATGTCGAATATTCTTTCTCTTTTTCAAAGAACTTGCAAAAATAAACACGTTGAGCGCCCACTTGATAGAAAATGGTAATTGTCGACTGCTATACTATAGACTATGACCATTACAAAATACACAATGGCATTATACCTCCGTGCTCTGTAATTTTATACCATATCCTTCAAATTCCGATTTAAAGAGTGTCCTGACACAATCATGTTGCGTAAGGATAGAAATACAAGTCTAGTGGTTTCCAAGCAACTTAGAACGAAATCTCCGTCTGGTAAATGACATATTATTACTACTTGTGTGGAGGTAGCGCCCTCAGTCTAGTGTTAAAACATTCTAGACTACTTTTATTGTATATGTATAACATTGTTTTCTATTCATTTTTAGGTTTTCGTACCCCAAATGAAAAACAAAACCCTTATTTTCTTTCTTGCCCGTCTGTCAAAAACTGTTTTTTTCAGAAACTCATAGAGATATCAAGCTGAAATTTATGTCAAATACTAAAATTTGCAATCTATTAGTGAAGACGTAGTGAAGAGATGAAACTTCTAAATCAAGGCAATCAAAAGATAAATCCGTTTATAGTGCATATTTTGAAATTTGCTAAGGAATCAAATTCTATAGGATACTTGCCGTTGACCTAGAATTATTAAATTTATCAAGAAGCAATATCGTAAAGTATAACTAAAGAAAATACTGCGAAAGCCATAAAGTTCTATATTAGAATTTAATTTTCGAACGGTACCGTCGATTCTCCAGTCCAATTCATATAAATTACAAATCTAACAACAATCTGTTTTCTTTAATTACAGAAGCACTAGCCCCTCCTAGCTACGAGGAAGCAGTCGGAGTGAACTATCAAGAGTTCCAGAGGACACAAGTCCAACCAATAACGTTCCCTCTAACTCACGCAGCCACACAAGCTGCCACTGAAGCTACAAACAACAGTTCTGATGTTAATAATGATGAACAAACAGTTTCACAAGCAACACTTGCAACAATCACAACAGTAGACGAGAGAAGAACATCTGTCGCACAATCATGATTTACATTACGACAAATAGTTATAAGGTAATAACTATTTGTCAACTTGTAATAATAGATTACAAGTTGAGCTTGTAATGTTATTTAATGTTATATGTAAATATAACGATAACTAGTCCTTTTTAGCGCCAGTTTTAAGTACTAATGAAGTTTATTTAAAGCAATTGGTGCAATATGGTTATCAAGTATAATTTTGCAAAAATTATGTAAGATATTTTATACGATGATTTAAAAACAGTATTGTGCCTTATTGTTATTGATAATTAGGGCTGTTATGCATATAGTTAGATCAGTTATTATAATATTTAACTAAATATTAGATGGTTATTGAAAATATCAGTGAAATGCCTGTGTTATATTTATAGTAAAGTTATTTCTTTGTAATTTTCTATGTTATTTCTTATATGATCTGTCTTTATATGAAGACGCAAGACTGATCATTTTCCGTCAATTATTCTAAATATTATAAATAAGTGACTTGTTATAATTATTCCTTCTAACATTGGTCACAGGTATGACTTGTTAAAGGCAAATGCCAGTTGTTTATAGTATTTACAATGTATTAGCGTTTAGTGTACAATAAAATACAGCATTGTTGAAATAAGTGCCTACTTTTGCAATAATATTATTAACATTATATTTTCCTTCAGCGAAGAATTCATCTGTTATTAGTTCTTTTCTAATTTCTCAACTTCTGTATCACATTTTCATGTAATTGTATACAGTTTTGATATACGTATTATAAAGATACAAAAATACTATGAAGTAATGTACAAGATTTGTTTCGTATTAATGTTTATTACAAGAGAAAGTCACAAAATGCTTTGTTTTGTATTCAACTGTTAGTTTCTACTAATAATAATTATTTTTCAATGGTGCTCGTATTTTATAACAACTATGAGTGCAATAAATTTTATATATACGTTTTTTATTTTCAAATTTGCTAAAACAGTTTTGACAATGAGATATCAATTATTTTTAAAAACCACAACCATTGTTTTTTTTTTAACTTTAGATACATTAAATGCATATTCCCATATACCGACAACACATCTATAATAATATTATTTACATTAAAATAAACCTAGATCGTAAAATCATAAAATATAAAGAAAGAGATGGCTTTCTTTATGTTATCATTTTATTTTTTATCTAGGCACGTACTGTAAAGTGTGATATCCTTTATAGATAATATTATTTATATCGATGACGTAAGCAATAGAATTTGTCGGTAATCAACAATAAAATTAATTTGAAGGCCTCTTGTGTACTAAAAGATTGTGATTGTAATAAAATTATTGATTATTTAAGAACTTTTAGTAGACATTAAGGTACAAAAGTAATAAATGTAATACAAACTTACATGCAGCTTAAAAGAGGACTATCTAATTACTATCTTGAGTTGGTCAAGTTGAGCACAGATCTATGTAATAGCGAAAGGATCCCGAATTGATCAATGGTTATCGTCTATATGTTATAATAATGATGTTATTTTCAATTTAAGTGCAATTATATTTTCAATCGATAAGTCAAAGTTGTTGCTTTCGATTTCACAATGAGATTGAACGAACCGATCGTCAACGACGCGACGAAAGGATGACTCTGTAAAATATTCTTTATTGAGCTATCAATAAAATTGTTATTGATTGTTTTCAATCATAATTTTTATTGTCTATAAACATAACATCAATTGAATATATAAATGATTAATGGTTACTGATCATTATGTATAATTGAGAATTATAATTGATCGTCTACGATTCGCTTTAGAGGCATAATATCTTAGGCATTAGGAGCATTAGTATGCCAGTATGTGACAAATCATTATCCAACAAATTGTCAACTTGTTTGTAACCTCTAATATTATTTTCATCTGATGAAAGTTGGAGACCACAGAGTGCAATTTGACACCCATAGTATGCATACTTTGACATTCCTAAGGACTAACCCCCTTATTCGTAGAAACTAAAACCTACTACAAATCTATTTTAGCTATTGGAGTGTTCACTTTCAAATTAGGAATTGTATTCACTTTCTTTCAAATTTAGAATTGTCTTGCAAATTTGGAGTGCAAAATAAAAAATAAAACATTTCAAGTAAGTTTATGAGACGTTTTGTGAATAAGGGGGTAATATATTGTGTCCTTTATACTCTGTAATTGCATTACCATAAATTCACCCATCAAACCGATATACAGCCATGCTTGGTGGTAGAAACATGATTGGGAAAGAAATATCCACGCAGAAGACTTTGTAGAATCTTTTTTGAATAAAATAAATGGATATTCTGCAACATTTGGGATGCCATCTTTTATATGTTGATTTTAAACAACTTAAAATGTACGAACTTAAATTGGGATTGAAACGGAGTAGTTACTTTGTAAAATTGAAATAATGAATTGTATATAATGTATAAACAATTATAATTGTTAAGAAACGAAGTTATTTGTATTATTTGGATATCGTCACCCAATCTTATATTTTCAAATCGATTCACTGAAAATTTTGTTTTTTAATTAGTTACTAAAAAGTAACTACGTAATAAAAATTTTGCTGCTCTAGTGACTACTAACTTTTTGGATTATGATAAGTAGAACAGTTCAATCTTTATTTACTTAGCACACATTTTTTTTTATTTATTTAATTCTTTTTTGTACACACCAATTATTTATAAGAATATGACAGAGATAATCAAATGTACAAAGGCGAGCTTAACTCTAAAAGAGTTCTCTTCCAGCAACACGCAAAGTGGAAAGGAGCATCAATGTCAGCGGGTAGAGCGGTGTATAATATTGTGACAATTTTTAAACAAAGAAACTAGATTCATAGTTAAACTTATTCCGCTATAGTAGTTAAACTGTTTTAAGTATTAGTACTGAACATTAGTAAAAAAATACCGGAATAGCTGAGCTAACAGATTTATTCAGTGTTCCTACACTGTGATGAGAACTGTCCCATTGTTGCGACAGTTCTGATCTTGGTACTCGTGCCATTATACCAACGCCCAGTAGTTGCAGTACATGAAAATGTTTAGAAGTGAATAGTTAATGGTTGATATCATCATCAAGAATAAATGAACATGGTTGGCGAAAGCGAGCAACATAAAATTTCCCGGACCAAGGATGTGTAAATAAAAAGAGCAAATCACAATAAATTGGTAGTAAAAAATACAAGCATTTTCAATAATATCATATAATCAAAATACACAATGCCATCTAGAGAGCAAAACAGAGCAAACCAAACCAATTGCCAAACGAATGCAAAGCCCTCTGGATCATAAACTACTAATAGGCTATTAAAGTACTTTTTTTGTACATAGAAAACTTAGCCCAGGATATATTTGAATATAAATGTTAAAATAAAATTGATCAAACTCGTAAACCATCAGACGTAACAGTAAGTCGGCGTTTTAATCCTCTTCACCACTAGGGTGGTCTTCTTTTATTTATGTCTATTTCTTTTCATCTCTCATGTGGAACATAAGCGGTAGACCACCGACAATACCTTGGCTTATCTCAGATATGGGATTTACAATTGGATACCTCCTGGACTCGGGAGCAGGCTTCACGGTAAACTTGGACAATATCGCCGCCACCCCATGGACAGCCATGGACTGCATAAGTCCAAGACGGTTTCCTAAAAATTATATTTATATTATTATATTTTTAAACTTCCAGACGAAGGTATACAATTTACCTTATTTGTCTGCATTTATTATGTTTGTTACATACTAGCATTTTGCCTGCTTCTTTGTGCATGTAGATTTCAGAAGTAGGAAAACAATGAAGTATATCGCTTCCAGATGGCGTAGATTAAGATAAAATATACACCAGTTTTTAAGATAGGCCTTTAGGAATACAACTGTGACTAATTTGATGCAATAGTTTTAACTTGATGCCGGAACAAATATACATACAGGCACAGACAAAATTTCCAAAAAATATTATTTTGTTTTCTATAATTCTTATTAAGATTCTCATACAAATTTTTCTTAAACGCCTGGTCCTTAAGCTAAGACATCCTAAATGATGTGGAACCAGGCAACGAATATCTGGGAACACAACCAGGAACACTCAGATTCAAGTCAATTCAGAAAAATTCATTTCCTAAATTGACCCCACTGGGAATCGAACTCGGGACTTCATTTAGGAGAAGTAAGTCGCACCCACAACTGAAAATCATAAACGTAATATAAGAGATATCTTCAACGAACTGATTTTGATAATTCTTTTTACAATTGATAAGGTATAATCTCGTGTCGGGTTCATTTCATTACAATCTTCAAGATGCTGTTTTTTTTTTTGCATAATGAAAACTAAAAATATTTGGAATAATGTTACTTTCTAGACATGTTTCTACAGCTATGGGATCTATATAATAGAGATCTCTTACTTTTTTGGTTTGTTTTAATATAATAATTGAATTTTATTACTTGCCTATACAACTGCGCGGACCATTACCAAACGGTAAATATGCATCATTGTGTTCATCATCATCGCGGAATCTTTGTGGACGATACTCCTCAGGACTCTCCCAATATTGAGGATCCATATGTAAGGCTTGAATTGGAATCATCACATTAATTCCTTTTTCGATCGTTAGACCCAAATCTTCAAAAGTATAATTCTTAGCGCATTGCCTGGTAATGAAGCCAAGTGGGGGAAATATCCTCATCGCTTCGTTTACAGCCATTTTTAGATATATCATCTCATTCACTGCTTCGAAACACAGCTTGTTATTATATTTAGCTAAAACTTTATCGATATTATCTTGGACATTTGCTTGCTCCTCTGGATGAAAGGCAAGCAAATGTAACGTCATACTTGAAGTAGTAGCTGATATTTCAAATCCAGCTCCAAAGAACATTGCGAGTTGTGCCATAAAAATATCGTCATCAAAATTAATGGAGACCATTTTAGGTGTACCATCTGCTTTCTTCTCTTCAATAGATTGAATTTCAACAGTTTCCATTTTTTTTTATTGTAAGCATCATATCAACGAAATCATTTCTACCTATCGGTTCATAGTTTCTCGCCTTTTGAACATTTTCCGAGAGTTTTTTTACGTCTTTTTCAACCCTGAAGAAGTATTTCAAATTTTTACACAGTTCAGGAAACATATCCTTGAGCACAGCCACTAAGGCATCAATTAGTCGAGGTTCTACAAATTTTCGACCCAATTTTCTAAAATCCGAATTTTCGTCATTAAGAGAATCCGCTTCTAAACCGAAACCGCAGGCCCCAATAAAATCTGTTGTGTATCTTGACATCAAATCTTTTGCATCGAAGCTTTTCCCGCTAGAAGCGACATCGTAGGTTCGTAATTGCAGTTTTTCTGCACGCTCCACGATTAACGGAAACATTGCTTTCAATTTGTTACTGGTGAAAGCGGGAGTCATACGCATTCTCAGCATTTTCCATAGGTCGCCCTCAGATGTGAACACGTTACGTAGAAGCGGTTCCATTACTTTCGTGTACGGAATGAAGCCGCGATAAAAAAACGATCCAAAATCAGTTACAAGTACACGTTTCACGAGCGCCGGATCTCTGATTATCAGTTCCGGTCTTGTTCCTCTGTAGAAACCGATTACCCTCTCATTGGCATACTTATTGTATAATTCGCTTGCGATTTGCACTTTATTCTTGCGCAGAAACAAGCCGTCTTTATTATTTCCGAAGAAAGCCACAGGTCTGTCATGTTTAACCCCTTTCTTTTCCCAGTACTTAAAGGTTCTTATATTATAAAAGTACAACACAATGAAAGTTAATAATACAACTACTAATGTTATCATTTTGTTTATAAATTCGTCTGACACTGGTTTATATTATTATTTTTTTAAACAGCGCTAAAAAAGCAAGTCATATTCAAACACAGATTGGCCGCATACTATATAAACAAGACAATTAACCACGCGCCCAGAAATGAGAATTCGTACGAACCGGTTCATGTATTGCCGTGTTGATGTTCTGGCTAAGTGACTTCTAAAAGAATTCTATCTACTCGATTACGTTGCTATTCGATTGTTCTTCAAAAAACAAAAGTCATTGATTTGGTTACATTTATATAATATGTTTTTTACGGTTTAATTTTAAACTGATTTCAAAAAGGAAAAGATTTTCAATTCGATTGAATTTTTTTATGTTTGTTATCTCATAACTCCGTTAGTTCTAAATTGAGTTCTAAATAGGTTGGTCCTATAGAAATTTTATCAAAATCAGTTCAGTAGTTTAGTTTTTAAGTCAAAATAACTGGTTTTGTTACAGTTGAAGTTGTTTTTTTTTATCTTTAATTATAGTTTGAAGAGTAGGACGTGGCAGTGAAATTACAGGATAAGGTGAAATTATATCATAGTCCAAACGAATGGTAATGCATACAATTATAATGGAGATCATATTGTAGTCTGTAAATAGATTCAAACGTGGCAAAGAGAAAGCGTATCCGTCACTCGGATTAGTACGTTCTCTATCAACAGAAAGTTACTTGAAATTGAGATGTCTTTAGTTCCATCACGTTCGAATTTCCGAGCTTTGCTATAAGTAATTTACTGTACGGTCTCGGTATAAAAAATGCATATCCCTTTCCATCGACTAAGAGAACTTAAGTCGAGGGATGGGCTGCAGCGTCCCTTTCAAAATATCACTAAAGTTTAACTGCCGTTGCCAATCCGACTGACGGGAGGAAAGGCATGGAGTTTTACAGCCCCATTGCTAGCAATATTAGGTCGACTTCCACGTGGTTCCCCTTGGAAACTATGAACAATTCTTGTTGAATTCGTCACGATGGCTACTGACCTACTTCATCATCACCTATTATCCTTCACTGGAGATCTGCCGGTGTATACTAATAGCGCGGGTGGGGTTTCCATTCCATTGTCACCTATTAAAAAAATCCGTCAGTCGGTTTTTTTTAATAGGTGACAATTAGCAATTATTTTTAATAGGAGCGCAGCAACTACTGACTAAATCCACCAATAAGGAGACACCTGTGTTCAGCAGGGGACAGTTCATGGCTGATATGATAACGATTCATCATAAATGGCGATTACATCACTCACCATCGATTTGCCGATGATATCTTATTATTGGCGGAAGCCAAAGAAGGATTCTCGCCGGAGGTTCCTCTCCGGAGGACTTGAATATTATGTTCAGTGACGTCAATAGTGTTTCTCAATAGGTAAGTCTTAAGATGCCCCAGGTATACGACATGTATAGTTGAGAGAACGTGTTCGACTCGGTAAGTCCAGTTGCAATAAGTCAACCGACGACTCCAACTCGGCTGGGTAACGTTCAGAAAACAACGCCCCATCTTCTCATCCAAAATACCTGAATATCCATAGCTTGAAGATGGAGGTCTTTAACCAGCACGAGTTGCCAGTGATAACCTATAAAATCGATACATAGCCATATACGGGTTCTCGTATGCAAAAACTTCAAATCACTTAGCAAATTATGCACTTAGAGGGCTATGCTCGGAATTTCTTTGCGTGATAGGATCCAAAATGAGGATATTCGTAAAAAGCCAATATCACCAATATAGCCCGAAGGATAAACAAGCTGAAGTCGTAATGGCCTGGTCACATAACTTTAACAAACGACAACCGATAGGGACGAATGGATCTTAAATAGCAACCTCGATCAGCAAACGCACTATAGGACGACCCCAACTAAATGGAGTGGCGATCTCAAATGTATTACATAAAGTCAGTGGATGCTGGTGGGTCGGAACCATTCCTTATAGCAACTATAGGGGTGGCCTGTGTTTAACAGTGAACAGACAATGATGGCTGAGATGATGACGATGATTATGATACTAAAAAGTTAGAGAATACACGTGTGTCCGCAAGTTGATTTTTACAACGCAATAAACGGCAGCTTTAACGTTTCAAAATTGTCGATTATCTTTCGTTTCCATCAAAACGCAGAACAGTCGATTGCAAAATAATTGTGAAAATCGCAATTGGTGACATAATCGATTATTCTTCACATAGTCGATTAAAAGTAAACGATTTAAATATCAACGACTATTAATATAGTACAGCACAAGTCTAATACTATAATATTATGCGCGTTGGTAAACACTGTAATAATTATCATAATAATTTGGTTGTTGCTATTGTAGATAATATACGCAATTTTTTTTTACATTAACATTTTCGGTTATATTTTTCCGCGAGTTTGTCTACACGAAACTGTTATCTTTTTTAGCTGTGACCCTTTGAACTTTCTTTTTAGTTTTTAAGTTGTAAACAAACTGTCGGTCCGATGAGTTTTTTTAATAGATAAAACCATCTACTAATGAAATGGAACGAAATGGAATGAGATGAAATGAATTGTTGTATGTGTGCTGTAAAGTATGTGTATGTTATGTGTATAGTTAATTGTGTATATATTATATATGTATGTGTATGTATGTATGTATGTATATATGTTTGTATGTGATAATATTTATATAATAGTGCGCCACCTACTCTTTGTCTTTTTCTCAATGTCCTCTACCCAAAGGTTGTTTGGAAGAGATTGCTTAGCAATAAGGCCACATTTTGTATCACTTCTCATTAATATTTACTGTATTTGTTATTTCTCTTTATACTTGGTGCAATAAAGTGTAAATAAATAAATATTTTGCGGACTCGCATGCAGCGATGCTAGGCCCCTTAGATGGAGATTCGGTCCGCCATCGGCACGAACGAATATTTTGCTCGCCATGTCGACGACGAATTCCTTAACCAATGGGGCCCTTAAGCCACGGGCGATAACGTCATTACGGACGTATCTGCCCATTCCCGTACAAAGACGGATCGTGATATCTTGCTGGGCTTGCATCTGACGCCTCAGCTTCGGAGAGCACAATGCATACCAAGCGGGTGCGGCGTAGGTGAGCCGTGTACGGACGTAGGTCTTGTACATGGAGACCCACGTCCGCAACGACAGCCTGGTTGTAAGTACCGGTTGGAAGAAAGCCCGGGCCTGCTCTGACCTTACGGCCCGCACTATTTGCGGCGTCATCCTCAGCGACCGGTTGATGTCGGTCCCCAAGTACCGCACGGTGCTCTCGTACTTAATGTCCTGATTACGAAGCCTGAGAGGTGGTGGTAGTGCTGTTCGGTTGCGGAGGACCAGTAGCACGACCGTTCTACCTACGTTGACGGCAATACGCCACCAGTTCAACCACTCTGGAAGCAAGTCCAGCTGCCGCTGTATTTGTGCGGCGGCTCTCGACTTCCAGTACGACGGCGTGAAAATCCCGTGTCGTCTGCAGACAGGGCGAGTATGACGTCCCTTTCCGGGAATCGGGACCGGAACGTCATTGGTATACAGCGCGTAGAGCGTCGGGAAGATGCAGTTACCGTGTGAGGCTCCGGCGGCCATGTTTACACAAAACGTGCGAATCATCACGCCATTTTGCTAGAGGGCGCTACATTTAATATTTAATGTATCCACAGAAAATAGCTTTTGTTAACTAATAGGATAGTGTTAAATCACGTTATTATTCGTAATCATCGTATCCTTGACTATTTTTACCTTTTAGTCAAGCGTATGAGATTAATATTGTTTTTTTTTGTATGTTTTCCCGCTTTGGTGCTTCTTTTAAATCGTGAAATACGTTATATGATATGAGTATTACTTGTCATATATAAGCTTTATATAGAAATGACAACACATATATATATATATATATATATATATATATATATATATATATATATATATATATATATATATATATATGTTAACACTGATACATGCCTAGACAATGGCAGACCGGCATATCCGTTCATCGAAATTTCCTCACTATATTAAACAGCATATTTAGATTTTAAGAATATGTAAATAACAGTGATACGTTTTTTATGCAACTTAGCAAATAAGCTGAGTGCTCACCTGACGGAAAGTTATAACTGTCAGCTATAGACATAACCAGTACTAGAATTTACTGTGTCGACGAGGAGATTTCGATGAATATTGATAGGTAGTAGTTTAAAAAAATGTTCGAAAAATAAAAAAAAAATGATGATCCTATTAGATAGTAGATAACGTTAAAAACTCAAATATGTAATAACAATATACAAATATAAAGTAAGGAAAAATTGTTATGATTAATACTGAAACACAATAAGCACCCAAGTATTTTTTTTATACAACTTAGAATGGCAAAAAAAATTATCTATGCAATTTAAAATGGCAAACAAGCTGACTGTCCACCTGATGGAAAGTGGTAACCGTCGCCTATAGGCATGAGCAATACCATAGATGTAACAGAGTGTACTGTTTCGCCCATGATACCCCCCTATGCGTTGCCGTTCCTAAGGACAACACCTGAGTCCTTAGGAACGGCAACGGTACAAACAAACTGACGGCACACCTGATGGAAAGTGGTAACTGTCGCCTATAAACATAAGCAGTACCATAGACATAACAGAGTATACTGTTTCGCCCATGATACCCCCCATGCGTTGTCATTCCTGAGGTCTCGGTTATTCTTCTGTACACTATAAATTCACGCCATATCCCACCATTCAAACCGAAACACAGCCATGCAAACACAACTGTTTCATTGTTGACACACGAATGGGATAGAGGTTCCCAAGCAAACGACTTTTGTACAAAATTTCCCTCTGGTTGTTATAATTGCTAATTTTATTTGTTGTAAACTTAAACCAAATGTACGGGGCCAATTAGCTATTTTTATTTTCAGTTTTGCAGTATTCAGCGACAGCTATTGTCGAATAGCATTACAAGTATATAGTATTATTATTGTCTATGGTAGCAGTAACGAGTTTAATATTACTCGACGACAGATGACGTAATTTATAAAAATGAATATAACCTTAGATTATAAAGATAATATTGCCGTCTCGGGTTCATAAAATGGTAATCACAAAAAAAACCTTTCAAGCTAAATAAATATATATTTGCTTTATAGTAATGCGCTTAGAATGAATATTGAAAGGTCAAATGACAGTTATATTTTACCATTCCATAATTTTTTATTACAATTTTATTTGAATTAAGTTTTTTAAGCTACAATAATCTGGTATTTAAAAAAATAGTACAACACGAGTGTAAGCTTTCTACGTTACTCTCCTTATGTGGAAAAGTACTCTCCTTAGTGGTTTCTACGTTAGTCTCCATTGTGGAAAAGACAATAAACAATGATATCATCCTTTAACTATCCACTGTTGAACATAAGCCTCCCCTTTGGGTTTTGCCAGTAGTTGCCACGCTTGGCAGGCGGATTGGCAATCGCAGTGAGGCTTTGGAGATGTTTTAAGAGCGATGTGACTGCCAATCCCTCGCCTTCCCTTAGTCGCCTCTTACGACACCCACGGGAAAGAAAGGGGTGGCCTATTCTTTGCCGGAGCCACATGGCCAAAACAATTACATACTATTTTAAAATTATACTATCGACTGTTCTACCTATGTATAGTCGGAACAAAAGAATAAAAAAAAGTCATTGCACACGATTTTATTACTTTTTATCCTTACGTGATTATGAGAAATCCTAACAAAAACTTATAAAGGTTATAGGGCACAAAGAGAATTGAGTATATGTAAAAAATACATTTATTGAGAAATAAAATAAAATGGTAACTACGTTTAAAATAATTTTTGCATGAATCATATGAGGACATAAAATGAAAAATAATACTTATATTCAATTCAATTCAATTTATTCAATAACAATATTACATTGTGTTGAATATGTTAATAATAATAATAATTTATTTGCTCGAAATGTGGTACAAAGGTCTTAAATGGTAACTGAGCTACACATTTCGCCTTATCTAAAGGCATGCAAATTTTATCTTAGCACATGTTAGTTAATTTTTAGTGGCTAACATTTTAAAGTAAAAGTTTATCAATTACATATGTCCAAATAATTATTCTAAATACATATTAATTGTTACATTGAATTAGTTAATTATGTCAATATATTTTATATGTCAATATATAATATATTTTTAAGAGTACAAACTTACAAATATACAAAAATTTAACAGATCAATAATGTCACATACAAATAATAATTGATTGGAATTAATATAAATAAAAAAAGGATATAAAGAAATTATTTACTTATATTACGTTCCAATATTAATAATATAATCTACTAGAAAAAAAAAAACTATTCATAATTTTGAATTCGCAATAACTTTTTTAATGATCACGAAGAGCTACGAAAAAAAAAAATAAGTAGAAGCATTAGTAAATGTAGAATTTAAATACAATATATTATTACAATTATGCTAATGTTGAATACATTCGATTAATTAATATTTTTTTACAATAACACGAATTAAAAAACAAAATAATTAGATGCTAAAACTTTACAAAAACAACTCGATGATAACATTACGAGTATTTTATCTATATTCCATTATGGTCACGCGCTCTTATTAGGTGTATCTCGTTTACTTTTCGCTTTAAATTTGCTTTTCTTACGTCTATAAATTTTTCTCTCTCTCTGTGTGTGTGTTAAACTGTTGGTTTCTTAAAATCAAATTTTATCAACTGACTTATTTATATTCTAGTTTTATTCCTTTCGCGGAATATCAACGGTAGACCTCCAACTATGCCTTGAACTACTTCAGACTTTGGGTCTATTACTGGCCGAAGCTTAGAGTTCGGAGCGGGCTCAACTGTAAATTTTGAGAGCACTGCAGCTAATCCAGCCATGGCTTGCATGAGCCCTAGACGCGTACCTGGGGGAAAAAATAAGATAATTTGACAATTTATTACAAGTATAATAAATATATGATATATTGTCAATTGTGATATATTATTCAGAGTTTGTTTTTTTTAGTTTTGGTTGTAATGTTTTATTGTTAAGCGTATTGAGTCTCCCATCCGAAAAATGCGTATTATCGACTCGCAAGCAAAGGAGTTAAGGGGCTGCCTGAAACTTAGCGTTATATAGGTACATCTCGCTACATATATAGCAACAACTAAGGCGGCTCCTATTACTAGCAAAATGAATTGTTTTTTTCTTTTTATTGTTGATTTTTTTTTTAATTATTACTAGTAATAAAGACTATATATATACACACGATACCAATATAATTATATAATTAACAACATAAATTTAAAATAATTCAATCACATACCAACACAATTTCGTGGACCATTTCCAAATGGTAAATATACATCCTTATGTTCATTATCGGATTGGAATCTTTCTGGCCGATACTCTTCGGGTTTGTCCCAATACTTAGGATCCATGTGCAAAGCTTGAATCGGGATCATAACGTTAACACCTTTATTTATCGTTAAATTCATATCTGTAAAAGTGTAATCCTTTGTACACTGTCTAGATATATAGCCAAGTGGAGGAAATATCCTCATTGATTCTTTAAATGCCATTTCTAAGTATGCCATATCTTTAACTGCATCATAACAAAGTTTATTATTATACTTAGCTAATACTCTGTCGATATCCTCTTGGACTTTTATTTGTTTATCTGGATGATAAGCCAATAAATGTAATGTCATACTTGAAGAGGACGACGACGTTTCAAACCCAGCTGCGAAAAACAAAATCAGTTGTGCCATAAAAATGTCATCATCAAACTGTATCGAGACCAATTCTGGGGACCCATCTGATTTCGTTTTTTCAATTGATTCGATTTTTATAGTTCCTTGATTTTTTAATGCAAGCATCATGTCTACGTAGTCATTTCTTCCAACTGGTTGATAATTTCTCGCTTTTTGAATGTCTTGTGCCAGTTGTTTGGCCTCATCTTCGATTCTAGAGAAAAACTTTAAATTTTTACATAATTCTGGAAACATATCCTTTGATACTGCAATTATAGCATCTACTAGACCTGGTGCAAATATTTTGTAACCAAGTTTTCGGAAATAGGAGTTTTCATTGTTAATTGAATCCGCTTCTAAGCCGAAACCGCAAGCACCAATAAAATCAGTTGCATACCTCGCCATCAATTCTTTCGCATCAGAACTTTTTTCGCTAGATGCAATTTTGGAAATTCGTGACTGCAGATTCTCTGCGTGCTCCACAATCAGTGGGAACATGACTTTTAGCTTGCCGCTTGTAAATACTGGGCTCATTCGTGTTCTCAACATCTTCCACAGGTCTCCCTCTGAAGCAAACAAATGACGCAGAGTAGGTTCGATCACATCTTTGTTTGGAAGAAATCCGCGATAAAAAAAAGAACCGAAGTCAGTAACCAGAATACGTTTCACTAGTTCCGGGTCTCTAATAATTAACTCTGGTTTCGTTCCTCTGTAGAAACCAACCACTCTCTCGTTCGAATACTTATTATACATTTCTGTATTGAGCTGCACCTTGCTTTTCTGTATGAAGAATCCTTCTTTATTGTTTCCAAAGAAAGCCACTGGTTTGTCATGCTTAACGTTTTTCTTCTTCCAATAATTAAATGTTCTTTTATTATAAAAATATAAAGCAATAAAAGATAAGAGTATAACTGCCAACGTTATCATCGTTTATGTAGCTTTGACAACTGCGACCTACGTTTAGAAATAATGTGTTGACATATAATAACGAACACTTACCATATATATACTTAACGACCTTAACTACAATTCGGCCATTTTATGCATAATTTTAGGATTCAATGATAAAATTATTAAAAAAAAACCGGCTGCTTCATTTTAAATTATGTTTGTCGGAGTATAATTTAAATATTTTAATATTTCTACAAAACATTTTTTTTGTTGTGTTTCGACTATTGTATAAATAAGTAAGAAATAAATACTTTACTTACTGCCGCGATCTTATCTTTGCCATGAAAATCTCGATTTATCTAATATTTAATTATTATTCTATTACTATTATAAATGTGAAAATAAATGTTAGCATCGATGGATGTTTGTTATTCTTTCATACAAAAACTACTGAACAGATTTGAAAGAAATTTCAAACACGGACACATTACATTGTGACTTAAAACAGAATATATAATGATTAACGTGAGCAAAGTCGCAAGATGTTAGTAATAATAAATAAATTATCGTCATCATCATCATCATCATCATATCAGCCTTTAACTGCCCAATGCTGAACATAAGCCTCCCCCTTGAGGGGATTTGCAAGTTATTACCATGCTTGGCAGGTGGATTGGCAACCGCAGTCAGGCTTTAGAGATTTTTTTATGCAACTTAGAATTACAAACAAGCTGACGACCCACCTAATGGAAAGTGGTAACCGTCGCCCATAGACATAACAGAGTACACTATTTCGTCCATGATACCCCCATGCGTTCCTGAGGATTCAGGTGTTATTCCTCTGTACCCTATAAATTCACTGTCATATCCCACCCTTCAAAGTGAAACACAGCCATGCAAACACAACTGCTTCACGGTAGAAACAAGAATGGGACAGAGGTGCCCAAGAAAACGACTTTTGTACAATGTCTCCCTCAGTTGTTTGCATGGCTGTGTTTCGGTTTGAAGGGTGGGATATGGCGTGAATTTACAGTGCATACAGCGCATGGGTGGTATCATGGGCGAAACAGTATGCTCTGTTATGTCCATGGTACTGCTCATGTCTATAGGCGACGGTTACCACTTTCCATCAGGTGGGCCGTCATCTTGTTTGCCATACTAAGTTGTATAAAAAAAAAATTGTTAAATAATTAGGCTAAATAATAAATAAATAGTGTAAGTAAAAGAAAAGCTTGTAAAAATATCAATATCTATAGTAAAGAACCTTTTACAAAAGAAACATGCTGCATCGTAACCGTTTGCAGGTTATTTAGATAACAAAAGGGCAAATATCAGTAACACCGGTTTATCAAAGACTTGTATGGTTTGAGAGTGACGCGAATCTTGTGAGGCCTTTCGGGCTAATACACATTTCACTGTTAAATTTTTAACTGTTTATACAATATGGATGACAATCCTTCTGAAATATCTTGATTCTCAGTATAAACTTTACAAAAGTTTAGGTTAAGACCATGTTAATAAATTTTACGTCTACAATTTTTTTACTGGAAAACCGAGTAAGCAGAATATCGATTTTATATACTTAATAAAATCAACATTTATTATATAAATAATTGAATTAATAGTACATTACTGCAGCGGCTAGCAACTGAGGCATTGATGGACGCACGTGCAAATTGTGGGCCGAGGCGTAGCCGAGGCACTCTCAATGCCTAGTTGTGGCCAAGGCTTGAATGTACTATTTTCTCAAACAGTGCGCGGAAATAAAAACAAAATTTTACTTTTTAAGTTTAATGAAGAATAATGAACAATAATAATTTTTCACGCGCCATAATGTTCCTTAGTTTTTTTTTTTTCAATAAACAGCTTGTCTATTTGCAAGCCAGTTCCAAATTTAAATAAAACCTTTTATTAGTTACCTCCTTGATAGCCACGTTTCTAAGTAAAAGGTCACTCCATTTTCAAATTACAGGACAGATATGAGTTTACATAGTAATTTATCTGGTCGCAAAACACGACAGATATAGATTTTCATACAACTTTTGCCGGCCGCTGCCCGCATGTACAGCAATTTTGATTTATCTCTAAGAAGATTGTCAAAATAATGCTCACATTTCCGAGCATGTTTGAGAAAATTAAATTCACATTTGTTGTTTGAATCAGAGGAATGTATACGGAATCCTGTACGTGATTTTGACATAGCAGTTAATTGCTATGCATATTTCATTTATATTCACAGCGTCATCTGTTGTCGAATAGTATTAAACTGCTTATTATGATTTTTCTGTTTATGCGTTCTTTTATTATTTTTTTTTACTTTATATGTCTGTTGTTATTTGTGTGCTGTAAGTAAAGCAAATAAATTATGTATCTTACATATATTATTATCAGTGGTAAAAATAAAGCGTTATATAACAACAGATAACGGCTGTTTTGACATAACTATCATGTATATCATGAATTTTGACCTACATTAATTTAGCCATGGTAGAACTTAGTTAATTTTAAACTCTTGTGTGTGGCATTGTTTACACATATTTTAAATACAAAATCGGGAGTTAACGCGATTGTAAAAGCTTTTACAGATAAATAAGTACATACTTACTTACAATACACCACGTTTTACCAGAGGGAGACTTTGTACAAAAGTCGATTGCTTGGGTACCTCTGTCCCATTTGTGTTTCAACCATGAAGCAATTGTGTTTGCATGGCTGTGTGTCGGTTTGAAGGGTGGGATATGGCGTGAATTTACTGGGTACAGAGGAATAACACCTGAGTAAACAAAATCATCTGGACGAGTGGCGGTCTTTCACCGTGCGTTTTTAAGGCATCTTCTTCGACGCTTCGACCACTCTTTGGGATCAACTTCCAGCAGCAGTATTACCGAACCGATACGACATCATAAGCTTCAAGAAAAGAGCATATTCCTTTTTAAAAGGCCGGCAGCACACCTGCAATGCTGTTGGTGTTGTGGATGATCATGGGCGGCGGTAGTCACTTACCATCAGGTGAGCCGCATGCTGTGAAATACTAGATTATAAGATAGGTTTAAGGAAGTAACGCCTCGGAATCGACCTCAATATTAGTTTAAAGATCGTGTGTTTAGTATTACTCAATGAAACTTCTATAAAAACTCAGTTTTTAGGTAATAAAGTGATTTAATCACGTTTTTACAATTTTTAATATATGAACAATGGTAACAAATGGATAGATCAGGGGTAGCCGATTTGACTAGACCCAAGATCTACTGTTTACTGACGAAACCTTGTTCGATCTACCAATCACATACTTCTTGAAATCACAAATGTAACAACATAGTTCAATACACAATTATGTAGTATTGTAGTATTGTTTATTTTATAATGAGGGAAAACATAAAACTGAAAGTTGTTCTTAGTAACTACTTATTTATATTAGCGTGAGCATTGCGTCTAAGCATCTTCCGCTAGATTAGCAAAATGTTATATTTTTTGTCTTGTCACAATCGACTGGACTTATAGTTGCGATCGATCGGTTGGCCACCCCCGGTATACATAAATACTTTAAAAGAGAAGACCAAAATATTGTAGATAACGAAGAACCAGAGGGAGACTTTGTACAAAAGTCGATTGCTTGGCCACCTCTGTCCCATTCGTGTTTCAACCGTGAAGCAGTTGTGTTTGCATGGCTGTTTCGGTTTGAAGGGTGGGATATGGCGTGAATTTACAGGGTACACAGGAATAACACCTGAGTCCTCAGGAATGGCAGCGCATGAGGGGTATCATGGGCGAAACAGTATACTCTGTTATGTCCATGGTACTGCTCATGTCTATAGGCGACGGTTACGACTTTCCATCAGGTGGACCGTCAGCTTGTTTGCCATTCTAAGTTGTATAAAAAAAAAATTACATCGGCGCCTGTCTAAAATGACACAATAAGAATATTCACTCTGTAATAATACAAAATTAATATAATAGTAACAAGCACATAAGTAATGATAGTGAGAATGAAACAATTTTCGGTTCGAGGATCTTTATTGACCGACTGACCCATATCGATGCACAGACGAAATCGTAGACTTTAGATAGATAGATACTCTTTATTGTTTCCTCCAAAAGATTACAATAGTAAACTTATTATAAAATACAAACAATTACAAGAAATAATCACAGTGAGAAAACAATGGGCGACCTTATCACTAAGAACGATCTCTTTTAGGCAACCTTTGGATGGAGAGGAGTAATTATAAATAGGTTGATCGGAGACACGATGAAAATTCTATTATTTCTTAATATATATGCATATACATGTAATAATGTAAATATATTTAGAATGTTGAAAATTTGCAGATTGCTTCTTAGTATAGCGTAGGTGAAAAATAAATAAGGAATTTGAAAATTTAACCTTTAAAGGGTAAAATGGGGGTTGAAAATTTATATGTATTTCGTTTATTTAGAAGTTAGACACGTAAAATGTTAAGTTTAGGTTGTTGGTTAGAAAAAAAAAATTATTTGAATAGTTCACCCTTAAAGGGGTGGAATAGGGGATGAAAAAGCAAGTTAAGCTGTGGGAAAAGCTTGTAGTATATTTAGTTTATGCTAAAACCATAACAATAAATATGCCGGCCAATACACAGCCATGCATACACAGAAAAATGTATACCTTATTATAAATGAACACATTTAAGTTCTAGGATTTCTTTCGTAAAAAATCAAGGGTAGGCCTCCGACTATGCCCTGGGCTATTTCAGACTTGGGGTCCAAGATTGGCCGCAGCCTGGACTCCGGAGCAGGCTTCACTGTAAACTTAGATAATACGGCTGCTAGTCCGGTCATAGCTTGCATGAGACCTAGACGGCTTCCTGGAATTAAAAAAGAAAATCTTAAATTAGCTTAGGAGATCATACTTGACCCTATTAGATTTAGACTTATGTATATCAGAGATAAACTTTGTACAAAAACTATGTGCTTGGATAATCTCTGCCCATCTCGTGTTTCAGCCATGAAGCGGCTGTATTTTGATTTGAAGAAGGGGGTTTTGGTGTAAATTGGCAGTGAAATTACAGAATATTGATTCTCCGAAATAGCAACGCATGAATGGTGGCATCGCATTTATGGATCTTTTTATATCTATAAATGACGGTATTCCTATATATTGAGTCATGAGTTTGTTTGCCATTCTATTATAAAAAAGTTATACAATAAGCGCTACCAGAGGGAAACTTTGTACAAAAGTCGTTTGCTTGGGCACCTCTGTACCATTTGTGTTTCTACCGTGAAGCTGTTGTGTTTGCATGGCTGTGTTTCGGTTTGAAGGGTGGGATCTGGCAGTGAAATTACAGGGTACAGAGGAAAAACACCTGAGTTCTCAGGAATGGCAACACATAGGGATTATCATGAGCAAAACAGTATACTCTGGAATGTCCAATGTACTGCTCATGTCTATAGGCGACGGTTACCACTTTCCATCAGTTGGGCCTTCACTTTGTTAGAGTATAAAAAAAAATACTAAGAAAAAGTGAAGAACGAAAGATTAGCTTCACTTTGTTAGAGAAATAATAATAAAGGCAACGGAAGATTAAGTCTTGCAAGGCTGGGTTTTAGCTTGTAAAGTGATGTATGGTTCTAAAACAACACTGTATGGGGGACTCAAATGTTTGATCTTAAGGAATCGCAACGTATTAAAGATGCTATGAGGATTCGTGAACTTTTAAATTGGTTCTCTCTATGTTCACATAATCCAAGTAATAAGTGTATGCACTTTTGCTGCCCTACCAAAGTAGGGCAGCAAAAGTGCATAAGTGCATAATAAGACACAAATGTCTTATCTACTGTATCATTATTATATTATTATCACTAATTGTATTATTTAATAACTATTATAGTTATTATAATGACCTAATTTACATACCAACGCAATTCCGCGGACCGTTTCCAAATGGTAAATATATGTCTTTATGTTCATTATCTGGATGAAACCTTTCTGGCCGATACTCTTCAGGGTTGTCCCAATACTTAGGATCCATATGCAGACCTTGAATTGGAATCATAACGTTGATTCCTTCATCGATCGTAAAGCCAAGATCTTCAAAAGTATAATTTTTAGAGCACCGTCTTGATACATAACCCAGCGGTGGAAATATTCTCATTGATTCTTTAAATGCCATTTCTAAGTATGTCATTTCTTTGACAGCATCAAAGGAGAGTTTATTATTATATTTAACTAAAACTCTGTCAATATCCTCTTGAACTTTTGCTTGTTCTTCCGGATGATAAGCCAATAAATGTAATGTCATGGCGGAAGAAGATGACGATGTTTCAAATCCCGCCGCAAAGAATACCATAAGCTGTGCCATAAAAATATCATCGTCGAACTGTATCGAGACTAACTCTGGTTTCCCGTCTGGTTTCGTCTTTTCAATTGATTCTATTTCTACATTACCTTGATTTTTTATCGCCAGCATCATATCTACGTAGTCATTTCTTCCGATTGGTTGATAATTTCTCGCCTTTTGTATATTTTGGGCCAATTCTTTTGCTTCCGCTTCAAGTCTGTAGAAAAACTTTAGATCTTTACACAGAACCGGAAACATGTCTTTCAGCACTGCAACTACAGCATCAATTGGACCGGGTGCAAATATTTTACGGCCAAGTTTTCGGAAATCGGAATTTTCATCATTCAGACTATCAGAATCCAAGCCGAAGCCGCAAGAACCGATGAAATCAGTTGCGTATCTCGCTATCAATTCTTTTACATCAATACTATTTTCGTTGGATGCAAGTTTAAAAATTCGTGACTGTAGTTTCTCTGCTCGCTCCACGATTAAAGGGAACATGACTTTTAATTTGCCGCTTGTGAACGTTGGACTCATTCGTATTCTCAACATCTTCCACAAGTCACCCTCTGCCGAAAACAAATTACGTAGAACCGGTTCGATTACATCCTTGTTGGGAACAAATCCGCGGTTATAAAACGATCCAAAATCACTTACAAGAACACGTTTCACCAGCTTCGGATCTCTGATTATCAACTCCGGTCTCGTTCCTCTGAAGAATCCAACCACCTTCTCATCGGGATATTTATTATACAATTCTTCCGTAATTTGAACTTTACTTTTACGTAATAAGACACCGTCTTTGTTATTTCCAAAGAAAGCCACGGGTTTGTCATGTTTAACGCCTTTCTTTTCCCAATATTTGAATGTCCTTGTATTATATAAATACAGTGCAATAAATGTTACGATTGTCACTACCAATGTTATCATCTTGTTCCGTCCGTGCAATATTTATTAAAAGATATTACTGTGTATAAAATTTGCTGTTTGCCTTATATTGCCTTACTTATCTTTCAGTATGTGTGTGTTTTAGGATTCCGTGTAAACTATTTTTCCTAACACGATGCGAGAAGATTCGAAATTTGTTGTCGTTTTTCGACCTATAATACCTTGGGACAAATGGTATTGATAGAACAAGTTAAAAGAAAGAATAATGATTTTGATATCACTCTGCATTATCATCATCATCGTCATATCAGTCGTCAACTGCCCACTGCTGGACATAGGCCTCAGTTTATTGATATTATAGATGTGAAAGTGAGTTTGTTAGTTCCATACCTGTTAGCGCCTTAACGGTTTAACAAATTACTATGAAATTTGGTATGAATTAGGTACACGTAGATATACATTAGGTCAATGAATTTTTTTTAGCAAACAAGCTGACGGTCCACCTGATGGAAAGTGGTAACTGTCGCCTATAGTACATAAGTATTAACATGGACATAAAAGAGTATACTGTTTTATTCATAATACTCCTCATGTATTGCCATTCCTGAGTACTCAGGTGTTATTCCTCTGTACCCTGTAAATTCACTGCCATATCCCACCCTTCAAACCGAAACACAGCCATGCAAACACAACTGCTTCACCGTAAAAACACGAATGGGACAGAGGTGCTCAAGCAAACGACTTTTGTACAAAGTCTCCCTCTGGTAATACATAATATTATATCTCAGTCACGTGAACAAAGTCGCGGATAAACGCTAGCAGTATATTGTTTCATTTAATCAAATTGAAGTATATAATTATTAACAAATAAATAATAGGTATACAATATAAGTGTTAAATGATAATGGGTTTTATGATGTCTAATTAGAAGCGAATTTATATCATCACTGTCTAGATATGTAAAAAAAAAACCTCTAGATAAGCAGCCAGACATTAAAATAAGGCATTGAAAATAGTATTTAATCAAATACACAAATTTTGAAACGTCCATGATGTTTATAATATGTTTAGAAGTATGCTTACAATTTTCATACAATTAACAAGTCGTTTTTCGCGGCTTTGGTCGGCTTTATTTTAAAATATAATATTTCATGCGTCGCATATAACCTATCTCTGTACTAAACATACATATGTACATCTACATATCATTAGAATTTCAGAAATTTACATAAGAATATAATGGAGTCTTTTACTTGGCTAATGAAGGAAATATGAAATATTAAACAATTTTGTTATTTTTTTTTTTTGGATAAAGTTCCCAAATACTTTTTGAGTTCTACACTAATAATGAGGTTAAGAAGGTAAGTTAATTTGACAATTAACTGATTAAAAATTGACCCGTTTTGCTAGATCTATATAATTTAAAAATAAAAACTAATCGATCATTCTCCCATTTGTACAGAGATTATAGTACAATTTTCTGTTATCAGCCGACAACAAGATACCGGATTGTCTGTTTATCGGTGGCAGACGCTTGAAACTGCGTCGAAAAATTAAAAACAACAGATCCGTTTAAAATTTTATATATATATATAATATATATATATAATAACCACGATGGTTTCCAGGGGGGACCACGTGGAGGTCGACCTGGCAGGGTATATTGCTAGCAATGGGATTTGCTACCTTTTAGCTGGATTTTTGTTTGCTTTACTAACATTACATACCTTCCCAACGCTTTTGCTAGGAATGTATTTTATCAGGTCGATTTTCACTCGGTTCCTTCTATAAATCATAGTGGTTAATTCTTGAATTCGCCACAATGGGGTAACAGAGCTGCTTTTATTTTCACCTACCATTCCTCACTGGTGCCCCGCCATTGTATATCGTGCGATCTACGTGGAACTGCTGGCTTTAAAAAACAGATACCACGATAAATGTTATTTAATCACGAATATAAATAAGCATTATCTAAATAAATTAACTATTTTTAAGTACAATTTGTCGCGTAGCTGATAACTGTAACATAATGCTGATTGATAGGCTGTTAAGTACGTATTATTGTTTAAACCTAATCTTTTAATGTTCATTATGAAATTTGCTATAATATATATATATATATATATATATATATATATATATATATATATATATATATATATATATATATATATATATATATATATATATATATATATATATATATATATATATATATATATATATATATATATATATATATATATATATATATATATATATATATATATATATATATATAAACTATCATGGTTAATTCCGGATGAATTCATCATGATGGGCTAACTGGCCTGTTTTCATTCTCATCTATCACCCTTCACTGGTGCTCCGCAAGCGTATCCCGTTAGCGCAGGCGGGGTTACCATACCATTTTCACCCGTAAAAAAATCAACGTCTTCATTCGCGACAAAATTATTATGAAATCAAAAAAAATATCCAGTTTCGTTAATGTGAAGGTATCTTATAATATATACATAAAATTCAGACGAATCGAAAATTTTCTCTTTTCTAAGGTCGCTTTAAAAATATCTTGCGGCTGTTGCAATAAAGTCTTCAATTTGGAAGACGAGTAACACCTTGCTAAGAAAATCATATCAGGCACGTTTATCACTGTTTGTCCTTTCTAATGAATTATTGATAATCAGCGCTTTACTGTCCGGCTCGATCCACTGAAACTGCGCAGAGATGTTGCATCACTGTGCATCTTTTAGCAAATTTATCATGGGGAATGCTCTGAGGAATTGTTCGGATTGATACCTGCTGCTGATTTTCACCACCGTACAACCCGCCACAAACTAAAGTTTCATCCTAATCATCTGGACGAGTGGCGGTCCTCCACCGTGCGTTTTTCAAGGCACTTTCTTCCACGTACAACCACTCTTTGGAATCAACTTCTAGCAGCAGTATTTCCGAACCGATACGACAACGTAACCTTTAAGAAAAGAGTATATTCCTTTTTAAAAGGCCGGCAGCACACCTGCGCTGCCGTTTGTGTTGTGGGTGATCATGGGCGGCGGTAGTCACTTACTATCATGTGAGCCACGTGCTCGTTTGTCCCCTGTGTTGTAAAAAAGACTTTCTTCTAGTAGGATTTTTTTTTTACAACTTAGAATGGCAAACAAGCTGACGGCCCACCTGATGGAAAGTGGTAACCGTCGCCTATAGACATGTGCAGTACCATGGACATAACAGAGTATACTGTTTCGCCCATGATACCCCCCATGCGTTGCCATTCCTAAAGACTCAGGTGTTATTCCTCTGTACCCAGTAAATTGACTGCCATATCTCACCCTTCAAACCGAAACATAGCCATGCAAACACAGCTGCTTTACGGATAGAGGTACCCAATTTGACTTTACCGATAATAGTGGTAGAAGATTGCAACCTTTTTTATTTTAATAGCCATATGGTTCTTTTTATTCTATCAGTCACTGTTCTTCTTTTGTTTTCTTCTTTGCATAATTTTTCATCGAATATACGGAAGCAATTTATTATTAAAAGACAATTATTTATTTAATATTCACCATAAAATCCATCCTTCATTATCATTTCAGCCATTATCCGTCCACTGCTGGACAAATGCCTCCCCCATAGACTGCCATAAAGAACGGTCCTGAGCCACCAGCATCCATTGAATCCTCATCCAGCATCCAGCGTCCCTTTTAAAATATCTTAAAAGACCGGACTGCGGTTGCCAACCCGCCTGCCAAGCGTGGCAACTACTGGCAACTCCCCCCTCCCGCCCCTCCCAATGGAAATCCATCATATTATCCATTAAATAGAGTATGGATAGTACTTACCGATTTATTTGTCAATGTGACAAAAACTAACTCATTGTACCATGTGATTTGTCACGGCGACGCTAATCTGTTATAGCTCAATGAGCGAGCGTGAAGGTCGTAGTTTCAAGAAATTATTGGAATTATCTTTTTTTGTTGGACTCGTGGAAGCAATTTAGTACATTTGGATTGTTATTGTTTTAATTTAAAACGTCCGCTGAAACGTAATGCGAACACTGTTCAACCAGAATATTCTAAATATGGAATGTATTGATTTATTTTATTGATTTATCCTTAAAATCCCTACTAAAACTTTTATAAGCTAGCCGCCCGGGGGGAGAAGGGATTGTTAGTAATGGGGATTAGTAGCCCCATTGCTAGCAATGTACTCTATCAGGTCGACCTCCTCATGGTTCCCCCTAAAAATTATCATGATTAATTTATTGTTAGATTCGTCACGATGGGCTAACTGACCTGCTTCATCCTCGCCAATCATTTCTAACTGGTGCCCCGTCAGTGTCAACCGATAGCGCAGGCGAGGTTAGGTAGGAACTAGCCGCCCGCATTGCATTTTTCTCACAAAGGTAATAAAATCAAGTTCGCGATTCTAAGATTTTTTTCTTTCCTTTACAGTTATTATCCTCTGTCTCACTCATTTACTTTTCATGTGGATATTTTGAATCTATTTTTTTTTCTTTGATATATAGATAAATAATTTATTTGCATGACTTACAGTACACAAATAATAGTGTAGGCCATGTTGCAATCCCATGTTCATCCCATCAAAAAGACGTCTTTCCATTCCCCTGGAAACCATCTAGGTTAATTCTTTATGAATTCATCACGATGGGCCAACTGAGCTGACTTTATCCTCTTCTATAATCCCTCATTTAGAAGGGATTCTTAGTAATAGGGATTAGTAACCCCATTGTTAACAATAAATCCTATCAGGTGGGGAGGGTGGAGGTTAAGGGATTGTTAGTAATTTCAGTCCAATTGCTAGCAATATTGTCAGGTCAATCTTCACGTGGTCCTCCCTGGAAACCATCGTGCTGTATTCCAGGTGTATTCACACGATGGGCCTTCATCCCTCACTGATGCCAGCGTATACCGTTACTGCGTATACTCACAGCGTATACCGTTAGCGCAGGCGGGGCTAGCATTCTATTATCATTCATTCAAAACTTTATCAGGTCGACCTTCTCGCGGTTTCTCTTGGAAAACATCGTGATTGATTTATTGTTCAATTTGTCACGATGGGCCTCCTTC